GCCCAGCCCCCTTGCTGCGTCTTCCCGCCCCACGCTCCACTTGAAGCTCAGGCCGGCATGGCGTGGGGGCCTCCTTCCCTTGGGCCATCCTTCGGAGAGGGGCAGACTTGCCCCAGGCTGGGGCCTCTGCCTGTCCCGGAGCAGGTGTTTCCCAAGGAAGGGATGGGGGAGTGGAGCAGAGCCTGCCAGAGGCTCTGCACAGCCCAGCCAGCCCCTGCGCTAGCCCAGCCCGACGGCTTGACCCGGAAACAGCCGACCCTGCTCAGCAGTGAACACGGAGAGTCCTCCAGGTTCCCCGGCCTGCTGGCAGGAGGGTCACGCTTTTGCCATGGTGGCCTGCCTGGATTCAGGAGGACGAGGAGGTGGGATGGAGAGTGACCGGGGCCACTTAAAGTCTCCCACACACACACACGCTCATGCCCGCTGACATTGCTAACACACACTGACTCACAAACATGCACACACACATAGTCACACACTTACAGACACCCCCTAGGAGCTGGGGCATTAGAGAGGGGCGTGTGCATGGGGTCTGTGCTCCACAGGCATCCCCATTCCCACTCTCCCAGGCTGTGTCCACACTGCCCCAGCTTCCCCGGCCCCCTCCTGACCCCCTTCCCTCCTTCCCCGGGGATCCTGTCCACCCCGAGTCTCCAAGCCAATGACCAAGGCCTCCTGAACCAGCCTGTTTTCAGCGGCTCTGCCTATCCCACAGGGTTGCCCATCCTTGTCCTGCCTGTATCTGAAGCCCCTTCAACCCAGGCCAGGCCTGAGGAGGGGGTGTCCCCTCACCCATCTCCAAGCCCTTTCCGAGGCCTATCCCATTCCCAAACCTCCCTCCCGCCGGTCCAACCACCCCACTCCCACCCTCACCCTAGGCCCCAGTCTGAGCCCACTTGGCCACGCTGGTCTTCTTCCCACTGTGAGCCCCTCACGGTCCTGCCTTGGACCCTCTATGGCTCCCCTGGGCTACCAGGGCACAGCCCCCACCCCCAGCTCATGAGCCTCGTCCCCACCAGCACCTGCTACCACCCAGAGTCAGCGCCCCCGCACGGCTGCCCCGGGCCCCGGGCTGAGCTCTGTTCGTCATCTCCCCGCACTCCAGACTGCCCCAGCTGTACCCAGCTTGGGATGGTACCCCATCTGCACCCCATCTTCTGGCTCACACAGGCTGCAGTGGCCAAGACAGCAGGGGCGGGGGTGGGCCATGCCTGCCTTAGGGAGAGGCCCTTTCCCTCTGGCCTCTCACCCGCTGGTGATGGGAGCCAGCAGAGCTGTGCCAGGATTTTGCAACATTTCACCGAAGGCATCCCAGGGTTGGGCCTGGGGTGGAGTGGGGCTCCCAGTCAGTGGGAGCTGGGGGTGAGCGGCCTATGTGAACTCCGGCCCAGCTGCTGCGGCTGCCTCTTCCCGCCTCTGTCCCTGCCTGGAGGACCTCAGTTTTACCCCTCAGCCGAGGCCTGGCCTGTGTTTGAAGGGCTGCTGTTCCCACCAGGTACCCCCATCTGCTGCCAGCACCAAACATTCATATCCCACAAGCCACCCAGGTCTGAGCTCCCAGTGGGCATGGCCACCTGCCATCAGTGGCTTGGACTTCACAGAGAGTTTTGCACAAATGTAGATGCTGCTGCAGAAGCGTCCTGGCCTAAAGCACCTCCTTGGTGGAGCAGATGTGGAGACCTGGCTGGATAGGGGCTGCCTGGAGGGGGCAGGCCTGACCTGCCCCCAGGCCCCCTTGCCTGGGAAGGTGGCTGCCTCTCTGACAGGAGCGGGGATCCTGGACCATGGGAGCAGCTGGCCCGGCCGGGCACTCAGACTGGAGTGTTGCTGCCAGAGCTTGAGCTCTGCCCACAGACAGCTCAGGCTTGGACCAAGCAGGGCAGGATAGGTGATAGCATCAGGCCAGACTCTGTCTACCCCTCCCTGGCAGCCCCAGGCAGCAGCCACACGGCTCAAGTGGGCACCCCAGGCCCTTGGGGTATCCTCTTCGAATGGCTGAGAAACGGGCCTGGGGGAGGGAGAGAGTCGCCCATAGCTGGGTGTGGTGGGGGCAGTCAGCGGTTCTGAGAAAGGAGCTATATGGCCCAAAGTTCTGCTTGTGGAGAAAGGACAGGCAGCACCCTCAAAAGCCTGCCTTATCCTTTCCAGGCTGCTGGGAGTGGCCCCCTGACTGTGTGCAGGGGCCAGATCCTGGCAGCCGCAGCCTGGACGTGACACTGGGCTGGGGATGGGTCAGCAGGATGGGCCCCAGGAAGTGATGCCCCAGGCTGTGCCTGAGTGGCTCTGCGGGACCTTCCACACTCTGCTCCTGCGGACGGACCTGGGTCTGTTCCTAGGAGTGTCCCTAGGGCCAGCCTGGGTGGGGACTAAGAGGCCCCTCGGGCATTTTGACCCAAGGATGCAGCAGGAGCAAAGGATGGGGCTCTCAGACCCAGGAAGGGGCAGCCATGGGTTTGTCTGTGTCAACATCCAGGGCCTGCAGCAGCCGGGGTCAGGGTCTGGCCACCCTGAGTGGTGACCCGGCCTGCCAGCCCTTCCCAGGCCCATTGCTGTTTCCTGGAATCCACAGGCCCCTCCTACTTCACTGTGTTGGGGGACAGAGTGCCAGAGTGGCTGAAGGAGACAGATCCTGGGACTGCCCCCGGGTCTCGGCTGGGAAAGTCCAGAGGGACTGCTGAGGCCTGGCAGGTGGGGATCCTGACCTGTCCCCACCTCTGTCCGCAGGGCCCCCGAAGCCCACCCTGACCTGGGGCCATGACGTGTCCTGGGCAGAACGTGGCATTCGGGAGAAGTGGCCCAAGTTGTCTTCCAACCGCCTGGCCACTTCCCTATTCCTGGGAAATGACAGTGGGGTTGAGGAGAGAAAGGGGGAGGGGAGGGCAGGTGCCCAGAAGCCAAGTGGCCTCTGACATGGGAGGTCCCAGCGCCTGCCAGGCTTATCCCTGAACACCACGTCTGCTCTTGGCTGTCCCCAAGCAGGCGGCAGTGCTATGGGTGGCCCAGGGCCGGGAGCTGAGGAGGACTCTGCCTGGCCTGGAGGGCATCCCACAGTCCTGGTGGCGGATCAATCTAGGTCAGGGCGCAGGGAGCAAGTGCTTGTGTGCACACCTGTTCCCAGGTGAGTGCGGGGGCGTGCACGTGCAGCCAGCCACACTCGCCACGCCGGCGCCCTCAAGGGCACACCGCCCCCTCGCTGGGGCTGCAGCTCCCCGACCTCTTTCCATGGTGCCCAGCCCCCTCCTCCCACTGGGCGCTGCGGCCTCCCGGCCCTCAGGAGGAGGGCATGAGCAGCCTGCCCGGGGCAGCCAAGGGACAGGGCCTCAGGGTGTTGCCCACACATCTCCGTGGTCCCGATGGGGAGCCTGAGACCCGGGAGTGTCACCTGCCTATCCCCACACCCTGCAACGGGCTAGGGCAGGGCCTCACGGACGCCTCTATGGAGGTCTCACCAGCCACATCTGGGCTTCATCCAGGTCCTCCTTGCTTCCCCCTGGCTCCATGAGGGTCCTCGAGGGTTCACCAGTGCCGACCTTCGGGGCCTCAAGGACACACAAGAACATGCACAGGAGGAAAGGGGGGATGAGGCTCTGGGGGCGGGGCTGCACACACAACCACACACGTGCACACACACACCATACAACCGCACACATGCACACACCACACACAACCACACACACCACAACCACACACGTGCCTACACAACCACACATACCACAACCGCACACACACAGCACACACAACTACACACGTGGATACACCACATACACATCACACACAGATGCACACACACCACACACATGCACACACACACGTGCACACACACACCACATACCACAGACCGCACACGTGCACGCACATATACACACACCACATATGCATCACACACCACACATGTGCACACATTCCAGATACACACCACACACCACACAGATGCACACACACACTGGAGAGTGCACACACACACACACACACACATGCACACACACCACTTGGGTCCTCCAAGCAACACACTCCACTGAGTCATCTCAGAGAAATGCAAAGAATGGAAAGAATTCCGCACTTTTACTCTCTGGCTGGGCTCCTCCACCTCCAAGAAATTCCCCATCCAGCACCCTGGCCCCTTCTGGGGCCCAGAGTGCCCTCCTGTCCCCGACGCCCTGCCCTGATCAGGTGTGGGGGTAGTTGGGGTCCCAGCAGAACCCACTTCTCAGGGCTGTGGGTGCCAGGCCCGGCTTGGGCCCCGGAGGACCAGCTCAGCCCACAGCCCACCCTTCTGTGTCAGCTCTGCCAGGCCGGGCCCCTAGATGGTAGGAGTGAGGACTGTGGTTGCCAAGCCTCTGGGCCAGGCGCCCCTTACACCTCAGTCGGGTGGCCTTTCTTTTGTATTCACTGACTCAGTCTGGAGATCAGAGGTGCTTCAATGGACGCTGTGGCCGGCGGGGCCTCCACCCCGAGCCCACCTTCCTATCTGTGAAACAGAGCTTGTGGTCACACCCCGGCATTGCTGGTGGGGCCTCTGGTACAGGAGATGGGGTGGCCTACAGGTGCTGCCATCCCAGACCAGGCCAGGCCAGATCTACAGCTTCAGGGCACTGCTTTCTCCTACCTCCCAGCCCTGCCCCTGCCCCTCACCCCTTCCCCTGAGCACCAAATGCTGTCTCCCGCCCCCCAAACAGAGGCACCGGCCCAGCCTGAAATCCGCCTCTGGTATGGAATGGGTGGTGGCAAGTGGGGCTCTGCGGGGCCAGGGCCATGGGAGCCAGTACAAAGCCCGGCCACAGGGGTCCTCTGTTCCTGCCCCACTGAGAGAACCAGAGAGAGCTAGGGCTCCTTCAGCGGGGACAGGCCTGGGCAGGACCACGAGGCGGGAGGAGAAGGGAGAACCAATGAGGGTCCCGTGGAGCCACCCCTGGGCTGGCCAAGCTGGCCACGCCTGCTGACCCTCTGTCCCCATCTCCCTGGATGACGGCACCTGAAAACAGGCACACACCTTCCCGGTGACGGCGCAGGCTGTCCAGGGAGAAGGACCAGCTCTCTGTCCACGCTGGTACCCAGTGGAAAGACTCCTTCCTAAAAGCAGGTGGTCCCTGGGACCAGGCCCCACCTCCTCCGGCAGCTCCAGGACCCACCCGTGACACCGCCATCTTCCAGCCCCCGCTGCTGTGTACAGAACATGTGGCTCCCCAACACCTGCCACCTGCCTCTGCTTTCAGGGAACCTCATCTCCGCCACCCTCTCATCTGGGAGAGGAGTGCTGACTCCTGGTTTCTGGACACACCGCATGATTTTGGGGTTTCCACCAGGCCCTGGAATCCCTGCCAGGTAAACCCGTCAGGGGTGCTGGGACCCTGGGGCTCAGTTCACTCCTCAGGAGCAGCAGGAGAACCAAACTCATTCGAGACCCCATCCTGCAGCTCAGACCCTGAGCCAACCCGCTGCCCCTAGGCTGCCCCCAGCCCCTGGCCCCCAGCCCTGCCACAGCTTGGCATCCCTGCGCCCAGCCTCTGGAGCTTGGTTCTGAACAGGTCGGTCCCCTGCTCGAGCCCTTTGATGGCTCCTGTGACCCGTGGAGGGAAGGCAGGCCACTGGGCCTTGGTTCTGTGCTTCAAATGGGTCTTCCAGGGGCACCACCCACCCCCACAGGGCCTGGGGGAAGATGTGAGCCCAGGGAGCTGAGCAGTGGGCAGGCCCCTGAGGCCAGGCATGACGCTTCCACCTCTGTGCCCCTTCCCACACTGGGAACCTCTCTGCCAAGCGCCTTTCCCCTAGGGTCTGACACAGGCAGTCCCCACCCACCTCACAGTGCTTGTCGGCCTGGCCATCCCTGCCCACGTGGCCGTCCCTGCCCGCCTCCCTATCCCTGCCCACCTCTAGGGCCTCAGCCTGGGTGTTGCCTCCTCCAAGGGCCCCAATCCCTCAGCTGGGTCAGGGCTGGCTGGGCAGGCAAGGGAGGAGGCATGAGCGAGCTCAGTCCTGGGGAAGAGGTCCCATTAGTGCCTGGGCTGGAGGGCGGGGTCAGGAGGGAGACAGCCACGCCCCACACTCAGGACCTACCCTGCCCCAGCCCCCATGGCCTCCTCTCTCCTCTCCATCCTCACAGGTGGGGAAACTGAGGCTTGGCAAAGCAGGGTGGCGGACCAGACCCCCATCGTCTGCAAAGGAGCCACTGAGGGCGGCCTTGAGCTCAAAGCCACACCAGGTTAGGTTCAGGGCTGGGAGGCCGTGTGGGAGGTACGAGACCCCGCCAGTGCCGGTCCCTGGCATCTGGTACCATCAGGACAGGTAGGTGGGCATCTCTCGTGGGGAGGGAAGGTTGCAGCGGAAGAGGCCACCGGCCAGGCCCAGGGCACCAGGAAGAGCTGAGTCTTGGAAGGATGTGGATGGGAGGGAGGTGGGCTGGGCCCGGCAGGGGCACTTGGGTCTCTGTTGAGGACCTGCAGTCCTGAAATCCCACCTAGCTCCCACCTGGGTCCTGAGCTCCCAGCACAGGTGACTCAGCAGTCTGCCTAGGCATGGATCCCTTCAGTGAGACCTGGGCAGGGGCCAGCCACGGGTGTGCGCGAGCGGGTGGCCCTTCCACTGGCTCTGCCCCCTGGGGTTTCGGGGCTCTGGAGGACACTGGCCAGCTGCCCTTGGCTGAAGTGGGTGGGCATAGCCGGGGGTGGGAAGTATGGAGTTGGGACTTAGCCCACCCAGGGCCAGGTCCCAGGCCAAATTTGGTCTCTCGATGGAGCCTGGTGACCTCCCTGCCTCTCTCCGCTCCACTTGGTGCTGGGGCACCCCTCTCTGTGTCCTGGCCTGTGAAGACAGGTGGAGGGGCTCTGCCTGGGCCCCCGCTGGCTCCCCTGACTGCCAGCCCTCCCCTGAAGGCTTGGCTGCTGTACCTGCTCCCGCCCTGCCCCCCTGCCTGGCAGGTGGGCCCCGCCCAACCTCCTGCCACAGGGCACTGCCGTGACGCAGCTGCTCCTGGCCACGGTCCACAGCACACGTGACGAGTGTGCAGACAGACGCAGATTCACACGCAGCACCCGGTCAGACTGGTTCTACCTGGCTGGCCCTTGGCCTGAGGAGGGGCCCATGCAGCCAGGCCTGCCAGGAGGCTGTCCTCAGCCCCCCAGCTTCCCTACCCCTGGCCTCAGCCCCCCAGCCTCCCTACTCCTGGCCTCAGCCCCCCAAGCTCCCTGCCCCCATCCTCAGCCCCCCAGCCTCAGCCTCTCAGCTCCCTGCCCCCTTTCTCAGCTACCTCCCCAGCCTCCCTGCCCCGGTCCCAGTAACTTCCAGCCTCAGTTCCTCATTTGTGAGCCAAACCCTGCTGTCCGGCTGGCAGGAGAGGCCATCACAGCTGGAGTGGGGCGGGGATCAGGAGGAGGTCAGCGCCTGGTCAGTGGAGACCCCCAAATGTCGCCGAGTGGGTGGATGGGCGGCGGAAAGGCAGCGGTCCCCTGCCCTGCCTCGAGGGGGCCCTTCTGGCAGTGAGGGTGTGCCAGTCCTGCGCTGCCCTGGTGTCCTCGGCCCTCGGCCCACAGGGCCTGGGAGAACATGCTGCAGACCCTCCGTGTCGCTGTGGAGCAGGCCTGGCAGGGTGGCCTCCGGGACTCCCGGCAGCTCCCAGCAGGCGGCTGGGCCAGGTCATCCTTGTTACTCACTTAGCTGGGTAGAGAATTACCTCATCAGCCAGAGTGCCCCCCGACAATACAGCACAGCCCAGGCCCCACACTCCCCACACCTCACACAACACAGCCTGGCCCAGGCCCCACCCTCCGGCCCCCCAAATACAGCCTGACCCATGCCCTTCCTCCCCCTGTCCCCTGGCCCCAACAACAGTCCAGCCCAGGCCTCACCCCCAACCACCCGCTACACCCCCCTGTCCCCCACATCCCCTCGCCCCGCTGTGCTTCCCTGTGGTGGATGGCGACACCAGTCCCCCTGAGCTGCTCGGGGGCTGGAGGGGCGTGTGTGTCGTGAGGCCCTGCATGGCTGTGCCAGGCTTCTCTGGCAGATGGAGGGTTTGCTTCCCCAGGAGGGTGCAGGCGGCCCAGCTCCCTTGGTGTCAAGGCCTCCCCGATCCTCTCTAGAGTGGAAAGTCTGACAGCTGGGGCTGGGGGCAGGTGCGGCTCTCACGGCCCGTGGCCCCACAGCTGAGGCCTCTAGTCTGGCCTGCAGCAGGACACAGCAAGATCCACCTGCAGAGGGCCCAGCCCTGGGCCTGCACCGCCCCCAGCATACTGGATCCACCTGGAGGGTTTCCAACGGCCCACCCCCCACCTCTAGCCAAGGACTCTCCCCAGGGCCCCTCCCCTGGGAAGCCTGTGCCCCCAACCAGCCAAAGGGGCTCTGCTCCTCGGGCGCTGATCTGCCCACTAAGTGCAGAGTCCGGTGAGCGAGGATGCCAGAAATTCCATCCTCTGCTCTAAGAACCTGGCTCCTGGTGGGTGGAAGGGTGTCAGGGTGGGGAGCCAGGGAAATATGGGGCGATGGGCTGGGGGGTGCAGACAGGGGCGATAATGGAGAGGCAGAGTGGAGGCACAGGCCGAGAGGGTCGCGTAGAAGGATTGGCAGAGGGTGTTGTGTATGGGGGGCCGTGTGGACAGGGTTCGAGGGGCGTGGACAGGCCCTGGGCGGGGCAGCTGGGTACACAATGGGCCCTTGTCCTGCAGGCCGAAGCTCCTGGGAGCCCTGAGCAAATACACACCCTGTTCCCGGCTGCACACGGTGTCCTGGGACGCCGCCGTGGCTGGGGGCCAGCGGGAGGGCGGCTGCAAGGCCAGGGCACCCGCCCGAGGGTTCAGCTGCCCGTGGACCTCCGTGTGGAGCCGTCCCCACAGTGGCCTGGGTGTGGCACTCATGCCCTGGCCACCCCCTTAGCCACCCCATCAGGTCCACCCAGGGATCCCGTGGGGGAGAGCAGCTCACTCTGCCTGGCCCTGCTGGAGATGCCTCTTCTGCCCAGCCAGGCCCCAGGCCCAGCTCAGCCTGCAGGACTGCAAGCTCCCACTCAAGCTACCTGCGTGCCCATCCTGCGTCTGCCCCGCCCTGCCCACCCACAGCCACAGCCCTGGATGGGCCTCAGCCTGGGGCTTTCTCAGGACATCTGGGTTGGGGCAGAGGCCAGGCAGGCAGGGCTTGGCTCCGGTCCCTGCCGAGGCCCCTTCCTAGGTGTGGAGTCTCTCTGGAGCGCCAGTGGGAGCTGCAGGTGGGCCCTGCCAGGGGTCCTCACCCAGCCCTCTGGCCTGCCCCAGGTCTGTGGCCCTGAGAGGGTGGCTGGGGCCTGCCTTCCCGACCTGTGCTGAGGACAGCCCTGGCCAGGGCTGGGGGACAGCTGGGACAGGGATGGACCCTCCCCGAGGGACCTGGGCAGGGGTGGAGAGGAGAGGACCCCTCTTCCTGGGGTGATCGGATGCTCCACCAGGCTGTGGGGGGTGCCTCAGGGGCAGGGAGGAGAGCTGGAGGGCAGCTGAGCACTCGGGAGAGGCACACAAGGCCCTGAGGGCTCGCTGTGGGTTCGGGCACCAGGGGCTGCTCCCTCCTCTCTGCACCTCTTCCCTGGGAGCAGCAGGAGCTGACTGCTCACCCTGAAGGAGTGCCTGAGACACCTCGCCACCTGGTAACAGTGTACCCTCAGCATAGGGGCTTGAAGGGTGCCAGAGAACCCAGGGGAGACAGACACCGAGAGAGACGGTAGCCGGAAAGTTCTTGGCCAGCAATACCCCCGACCACACCAGGCAACATCTTGGACGTACCGTCAAGAGGCATGAGGCCTGGTCAGCCTCTCTGGCAGCTGATGCCGCTGAGCCCACCCTCCAGAGGACCACGAGAGCCCCCAGAGCACTGGACGGTCATTGGGGGGCTCCAGGCACAGCACAGCCTGTTGGGGATGCTCTGGGTAGCCAGGCCCCAGGTCAGCTCCGTGGCAGTGCCCTGGGAGGGCTTCCATCAGCAGGGCTGCTGTGGCTTAGCGGGCCGCCTTGTGGAGTCCCTGGTCCTGTGAGGTGGCCATGGAGGGCTCCTACACCCCTTGCCAGGGTGGGTGCCGGGGATGGGGTGGTGTTCCCAGCTTTACCTTGAGAAGTGTCTGGACCACCTGCCCCAGTGACCCCCATGTGTGCCTGTGTGGGGACAGAACAGCAGGCATGGGGACTGTACCAGTGTTCACTGGCCCCAGAGGACAGGAGGGAGCCTCTGTCCCTCAGCCAGCATCTCAGAGCCTGGCCATCCCCAGCACAGGGGTCCTGCCCAAGCAGGGCACAGGCTCACCCTGCTGGCCTGGATGCCTGGGTCTGCCCCAGCTGGGCTCTGGGTGGGAGGGGAGCAGGCTCAAAGCCCTGCCTCTGGAGCCCACCCTGTGCAGATGGCTCTCACAGGCACAGCTCCAAGGGCTGGGGGGCCTTTAGCGGGAATGGAGGCTGGGTCTGTCGGTGGGCATGGGCTGAGAGTCCCTCCCTCTTGCCCTGGAGGCAGCCAAGGAGGGAAAGAGGCCTGCCGTCCCCCCCTCACCCCCTACTCCACTGCTGCTCCAGAAGCCACGAGGGAACGAAGCCACACTGGGCTCCTAGTGGACTTGGCAGTGGCCATACTGGGCCTTGAGGCTGCAGCCCCAACGCTGGGCAGGGGTCGTCCAGGCCAGCCTGCACGTGGAGCTGGCCATCTTTCGAGAGGCACCCACGGCTGCCAAGAGCTGTGGCCAGGGAACTTTAGGACCCCACGGGCCTGGGCCCCACCCTGGACTGATACAGCTCTGGGGAGGTGCCTGGGCTCCAGGAGGGGCATTTGCATGACAAATGGATTCCTGGGAAACTGGTGTCGGCTGTGTGTCTGTGGGTGTGCAGGGCTGGCTCTGAGGGGCCACACAGCCAGCCGCAAATCCCAAACTCAGGGCCAGGGCCTGGGCCCGCTTTGGACCTCAGAATATGTTTTCATCTGTGAGACGGGGAGCTGCCCAGCCGGCTCCAGATCCGACGGAAGCACCTCATCCTGACCCAGCTCAGGGCTCAGGGAAGGTCAGCACCCCAGGCCCGGAGACCTCAGATCCAGCACCCTCAGGTCCCTATGTGCCAGGCCCTCCATTTCGGTCCTCCCCTGTGCCCTGTGGGGGTGTGGGGCAGGTGAGGAGGGTCATTCTGAGCAGACAGGGAGGCTGGAACACTGTCCTGGTCAGTGGTAGGGACAGGCGGCCTCCTCCCTGAGTCCCACTGTCCTTCCTGACTGCTGGGAGCAGCCACATGGTTTGCAGAGCCCAGCGCAGGGTGAGAACTCAGAGCTCATTGTTCAAAATACGGGAAAAAGTGACATTATAGGTACCGACAGACGAAGCTTGTTCCTTGTTCTGTAATCCATTTCTCAACTGGTCATATGATTTTCATTACCCAAAATCGTTGGATAACACACATTTATCCAGTCTTTTTTTTTTTTTTTTTTTTTAAGGTGGAGTCTCGCTCTGTTGCCCAGGCTGGAGTGCAGTGGCGCCATCTCAGCTGACAGCAACCTCCACCTCCCAGGTTCAAGTGATTCTCCTGCCTCAGCATCCTCAATAGCTGGGATTACAGGTGCCCACCACCATGCCCGGCTAATTATAGTATTTTTAGTAAAGAATGGGGTTTCACCATGTTGGCCAGGTTGGTCTTGAACTCCTGACCTAAGGTGATCCACCCACCTCGGCCTCCCAAAGTGCTGGGATTACAGGCGTGAGCCACCACACCTGGTCCTGATTTCACCATATATCTTCATTTTGTGCAAGGTGAGGTTTAATGCGGATGTCAGACCGCGGGACTCCCATGTGGCACCCCTAAAATCACGCAGCTCATTATCTGTTGCTCAGATGGGCATGTGTGTTTTGTTTTTACCAGAACAGTGGAAATGCTGCACCAAACTAACTCGACTGCTTTTTATTTTCATTGTGATAAAATATAAGTAACAGAAATGTTGCTCTTGTGTCATTTTTAAGTGTCAAATTCCATGGCACTAAGCACATTCAGGACGCTGTGTGACCGTCACCACTGTCTATTTCCAGAACTTTTTCATGACCCCAAACAGAAGCTTCATTCCTATTAAACACTGCCCCCTGCTCCCCAGCCCCTGGTAGACACCGCTGTACTCTCTGTGTCTGTGGATTCAGCGAGTCTCAGGACCTCACACTCAGGATTTGCCCCTCCGTGTTGGGCTCATCCCACTGAGCTGAATATCTTCAAGGTTTGTCCGTGCTGTAGCCATGTCAGAACTCCCTTCCTCTTTAGGACTACGTAATATTCCACGGCATTGGTATTCCACATTTTGCTTATCCACTCCTCTGTTGAAGGGCACCAGGGTGGCTTTAACCTTGTGGCTGTTTTGAATGCTGCTGCCATGAACACGGGTGTAGAACTATCTCTCCCAGGCCCTCATTTCGGTTCTTCCGGGGTATTTACCCAGAAGTGGACCCACTGGATCACCTGGGGCTATGGCTTGACTGTGTCCCCCAAAGTTCATGTGTTGGAAACTTGATCTCGAATTCGATGGTGTTGGGAAGTGGGGCCAGATGGAAGGTGTTTGGGTCATGGGGTCCTGAACGGATGAATGCTGTTGTCTCAGCAGTGGGTTTGTTATAAAAAGACGAGCTCAGGGCTGGGCATGGTGGCTCACGCCTGTAATCCGAGCACTTTTTGAGGCTGAGGTGGGCGGATCACCTGAGGTCGGGAGTTCAGACCAGCCTGGCCAACTTAGTGAAACTCCATCTCTACAAAAATACAAAATAATTAGCCAGGCACCATGGCAGGTGCCTGTGATCCCAGCTACTCAGGAGGCTGAGGCAGGAGAATCACCTGAACCCAGGAGGCAGAGATTGCAGTGAGCCGAGATCATACCACTGCACTCCAGCCTGAGTGACAGAGGGAGGCTTCATCTCAAAATAATAATCATAAAAGACAAGTCTGGCCTCCTCTTGCACACGTGCATTCTCATGCGCCTGCCCTCCCTCCCCTCCCTCTCTTGCTCTTCCACTTTCTGCCATGGCTGATGCAGCAAGAAGGCCCTTACCAGATGCCAGCCCCTTGAACGTGGACTTCCTAGCCTCGAGAACCATGAGCCAATACATTTCTGTTCACTAAAAGTTACCCAGTCTTAGGTATTCTGTTACAGTAGCACAAAACGGACTAAGATGGGGGACTCCGTGTTGAGCGTTTTGAGAACCTGTCTCCACGGTGGCTGCACTGTTTTGCATTTCCAGCAGCAACCCGTGAGTGTTCCCGTTTCTCCACATCCTTGCCAACACTTGCTGCTTTCTGGTTTTGGATGATATCCGTCCTGGGGATGGTGAGGTGGTATCTCACGGTGGTTTTGATGGACATCTCCCCAGCTTCTTTGCCGGACACCTCCTTCCTGCCCTTCTCACCCAGCTCAGATTCCACGGCTACCACTGAACCTGCCCCACCCCTGCCCAGCTGCGGGCTCCTCCTGCTCCATCCTCGTCACCATCACCCTCTTCCCTCCCTGTCTGCCCCCACCTCCTCTGTGAGCCCCTCACAGGCCCCTGCTCCAGCCTCAGTCTCCCCTCCACGGTGTCTGACAAACCTGTGGCATCGTCTCTCCTCCTAACAAGACTCCCTGGGCCTTCACCTCCCACCGTCCCCACCCTCTCGCAGGCACACAGGGCTGTGGCCATCCACAGCTCCCAGGCCCCTTATCCCCAGCCCACCTCCCTCATGGCGTCCAGGATCTCAGGTTGTGAACTCCTCACTCTGCTCCATCCGCATCTCCCCAGAGGGATTTTCCTCCTTTCCTCACTAACCAATGTGGCTGGCTCAGGCTTGAGGGTGGGCAGCCATGCTCCTCTGTCTGTCTTCCTGAGGACTCACCCTCAGCGTTCCATCGTGTCTGAGGGTGGCCAGCACCTTCCCTGCCTGGTACCACACCCCACTGGAGACCAGATAGTGGCTCAAGGTAACAACAGCCAAAGCAGAGTCCTTTCAGTTTTTTTTGAGATGGAGTCTCACTCTGCCGCCCAGGCTGGAGTTTAGTGGCGCAGTCTGGGCTCACTGTAACCTCTGCCTCCTGGGTTCAAGTAATTCTCCTGCCTCAGCCTCCAGAGTAGATGGGACTACGAGCGTGCATCACCACGCCTGGCTAATTTTTGTATTTTAGTAGAGACGGGGTTTCATCATGTTGGCCAGGATGGTCTCCATCTCCTGACCTCGTGATCCACCCGCCTCGACCTCCCAAAGTGCAGGGATTACAGGTGTGAGCCACCGCGCCTGGCCCCAACACGGAGTTCTTGACTTGCAGCCTTTGTTGTCTCTGTTCCAGTGCCACCAGCCCCACCTGCCAGGGGCTGAGGTCAACGCTCCAGTCCTCCAGCACCCCAGAGGTGGCCAGCAAGCCCAGCTGGCTCCACCCTCAATGTCGTGTTGATCTGTTGCTGTCTCAGGAACGACCCCAAGTTTTAGTGGCTTAAAACACATACATTTGTGACTTTCCAGTGGGTCTGGAATCCAGGTCAGGTTTAGCAGTTTCCCTCTGCCCCAGGGTCTCCTGCAAGGCTAAGATCAAGGGGCTCCCTTGGGCTGTGGCTTCATCTGGAAGGTCACATGTACATCTTGAATTCGGCATAAAACAGTTTTACATAATGAAAGGCAGCTTCTCACAGCTTATCTGGCCCCAAAAGGGGCGTGGAGTTTCCTGGGGGACCCGGTGAGCAGTGACACTTTTTCTCAGGTCCCAACCCCCCAGAGCAGTGTGGGGTCAGAAGCTCTGTGCTGGCACAGGTGCACCCCGAGACGCACGGCCGGTTGCCACTGTGGCTGCAGCAGGCTGCTGGGACTCTGGGTGCCTGGCGTTGCAGCCTGAGGTTGAGGGAGAGGCTGCCACCTGGTGTGCTGACAACCCGGCCGCCCACACCTCCTCCACCAGCAGGGATTTCGGTGGCCCAGGTGTCCACGTGGAGAGAGCAGGTGCTTGGGCCAAGGCCAGGTCCAGGAGGAAGTGGGACCTGGGAAGCCTGGACAACCCCGGGCCTGCCCTGGGCATTGGAGGGACCCTGGGGGGCTGGTGTGGGCACCGGGGGGACCTGCAGGGGCCTGGAGAGTTGGGTACTACTCAGTGACCAGCGGCCAGGCAGACCCAGGGCCTCCTGCAGGGGCTGTTCAGAGGAGAAGGCCTTTACCCCATGGCTCTGCCCACTCACCAGCCCCTCAAACAGCTTCGGGGGCTCTGCTCTGGGTTCGGAGGCTTGAGGAGCAAGTTCCTTAGAGTGATTTTTAGGAAACAGTGATTTTCAGGCAAAGCATTCAGAGCCACCAAGGTCATTCCATGAGGGACTGGCGTTCCAGTCTCCCTGGGCCTCTCCTCCGCCTGCAGCTGGGTGCACAGCAGGAACTCCCCTACCCAGGGCCACCCACCCCACCTGAGACGATGGAGGTCTGCACCAGCTGCCTGGACATGGGTGAGGCCGACCCCAGGTCTGGAGGCTCTGGCGCCCACCACGGTGCTGTGTCTGCAAGGCTGGCCCTCCTTCTCCCGGGCCCCAGCCCGCCTGGCCCCTGCTCACCTCCAGCCAGGCCCAGCCCCTGTGCAGGGAACAGCGCTGGCTTTGTGTCCTCAGGAGCAGGAGCCCCGGCGGCTGCACCTCCCCAGACACCCTGGCGCTGCCTGTGGCTTCAGAAGTCACAGCATGGGCGTTTGGACCACCCCTCCTTCCCACAGGCGGCCACGCTGGCCTGGGAGGGCTTGACGGGAGCTGGGCACCTCCAGATCTGGGGTCAGCAGAGAGCAGCTGGGGGGCTGGGAGGCCAGTGCACACCCTCCCTCCTTCACTCAGTCACTCACTTCCTCATTCAGTCATTCACTCCCTCTCTCACTCCTCACTCCCTCCCTCAGTCACTCACTCCCTCACTCACTCATTCACTCACCCAATCACTTACTCAGTTATTCACTGAGTCACTCACTCACTCCCTCATTCAGTCATTCACTCCCTCCCTCCCTCACTCCTCACTCCCTCAGTCAATCATTCCCTCCCTCCCTCACTCCTCACTCATTCATTCACTCACTCCCTCCTCACTCACTCATTCAGTCATTCACTCCCTCCCTCCCTCACTCCTCACTCACTCATTCATTCACTCCCTCCCTCCCTCACTCCTCACTCACTCATTCAGTCATTCACTCCCTACCTCCCTCACTCCTCACTCACTCATTCAGTCATTCACTCCCTACCTCCCTCACTCCTCACTCCCTCAGTCAGTCACTCCCTCACCCGGTCATTCAGTGTACTGAGTGACACAGGGTTGGACACAGGGACCAGGATGTCAGGCCTGGAACAGAGACACAGAGCCTGGACCTGGACATGGGACCTAGGCATGGATGCAGGGCCTGCACACGGATGTGGGACCCAGACATGTTTGTGGTTCTAGGGCCTGTGGCAGCAGCAGATGCTGGGGAAGGGTCACCCTCTGCATAGGGCCCGGCCCTCCCCTGCCTCCATC